GTATCCGAGACCTGAAAGACCACAAATACTCTTGTCAACAAACATCAATACTTCAATAATACAACGGTCTAGGTCACTAACTAACAACACCTCCCCTATTCTACAAAACATCTATTAGTAAGTCAACACATCTCACACTATAAGAATTAAACTTGTACACTGTGGTTAAGTATAATTCCATTATGGCTAAAATTTATTTTGATCAAGTCTCAGTCTTACACAGTATTATTTACTGGTGACGTTTCAAGCACAATTTATTGCTCATAATCACTGATATGATTATGAGACTTTATCAAAATAAAAAATCTACCTATAATGGAATTACACCTTAAACTATTCAATACGTGATACCAACTCGAACTAAATTATCAAATTTATGGACACTAACACTGCAACTCTCAAGGCAAAAACTGAACAGCACTTACCTTCGGCGAAGGAACAACTGAAAACGTGTTCATTATCCGGTCAGGATACTCTTCGCGTATCTTCGAGATCAACAGTGTACCCATTCCAGAACCAGTACCACCACCGAGTGAGTGAGTCAACTGGAAGCCTTGAAGACAGTCACACGACTCCGACTCTTTCCTCACCACATCCAACACCGAGTCAACCAACTCAGCTCCCTCTGTATAATGGCCTTTCGCCCAATTATTCCCAGCGCCACTCTGACCAAATACAAAGTTATCCGGACGGAACAGTTGTCCGAAAGGTCCAGCACGGACGCTGTCCATTGTCCCAGGTTCTAGATCCACCAGGATAGCCCGTGGGACATACTTTCCACCAGATGCCTCGTTGTAGTAGACATTAATGCGTTCCAGTTGCAGATCAGAATCACCATGATATGTCCCCGTTGGATCGATTCCATGTTCATCTGAGATGACTTCCCAGAACTGGACAATTTAAAGGTGGACATGGACAAAGGGTATTAGTGAATGCACAAAGTCCAGTAGAACATGAAAATAATAAGGTGTTGTATATGTATGTGTTTCGACATACCTTGGCACCAATCTGGTTTCCACACTGACCAGCTTGAATATGGACAATCTCTCTCATGACAACCGGTCACTAAGACGGAAGTACGCGAAACGAAAGCAAAAACTACAGCTTAGCGTCAGTAGCAGACTTGCTAACCAATTTAATCCATTTATTTCGACCAATGAATGGACGAGTTTAGTCTGTTTTTGGTCTATCTATCATTGACAGCCATAGCGCTTTTGTAACCCATTATGTTTGTATCACCTATTGTTATCACAAATAAGTATCTGACTGAAATGGTATGGATGATTCAGATACGCCAAAAAGACAACAGACTAATCACTCTCTTCTCTCTCATCACCAATCACAATGATGAAGAAAACTTTCCACTAATCATTTTAGACTAAGTAGGGAAGCCCATTCATTGGTCGAAATAAATGGATTAAATTGGTTAGCAAGTCTGCTACTGACGCTAAGCTGTAGTTTTCGCTTTCGTTTCGCGTACTTCCGTCTTAGTGACCGGTTGTCATGAGAGAGATTGTCCATATTCAAGCTGGTCAGTGTGGAAACCAGATTGGTGCCAAGGTATGTCGAAACACATACATACACAACACCTTATTATTTTCATGTTCTACTGGACTTTGTGCATTCACTAATACCCTTTGTCCATGTCCACCTTTAAATTGTCCAGTTCTGGGAAGTCATCTCAGATGAACATGGAATCGATCCAACGGGGACATATCATGGTGATTCTGATCTGCAACTGGAACGCATTAATGTCTACTACAACGAGGCATCTGGTGGAAAGTATGTCCCACGGGCTATCCTGGTGGATCTAGAACCTGGGACAATGGACAGCGTCCGTGCTGGACCTTTCGGACAACTGTTCCGTCCGGATAACTTTGTATTTGGTCAGAGTGGCGCTGGGAATAATTGGGCGAAAGGCCATTATACAGAGGGAGCTGAGTTGGTTGACTCGGTGTTGGATGTGGTGAGGAAAGAGTCGGAGTCGTGTGACTGTCTTCAAGGCTTCCAGTTGACTCACTCACTCGGTGGTGGTACTGGTTCTGGAATGGGTACACTGTTGATCTCGAAGATACGCGAAGAGTATCCTGACCGGATAATGAACACGTTTTCAGTTGTTCCTTCGCCGAAGGTAAGTGCTGTTCAGTTTTTGCCTTGAGAGTTGCAGTGTTAGTGTCCATAAATTTGATAATTTAGTTCGAGTTGGTATCACGTATTGAATAGTTTAAGGTGTAATTCCATTATAGGTAGATTTTTTATTTTGATAAAGTCTCATAATCATATCAGTGATTATGAGCAATAAATTGTGCTTGAAACGTCACCAGTAAATAATACTGTGTAAGACTGAGACTTGATCAAAATAAATTTTAGCCATAATGGAATTATACTTAACCACAGTGTACAAGTTTAATTCTTATAGTGTGAGATGTGTTGACTTACTAATAGATGTTTTGTAGAATAGGGGAGGTGTTGTTAGTTAGTGACCTAGACCGTTGTATTATTGAAGTATTGATGTTTGTTGACAAGAGTATTTGTGGTCTTTCAGGTCTCGGATACAGTCGTGGAGCCGTATAATGCAACGCTCTCCGTCCATCAGTTGGTGGAGAACACAGACGAGACTTATTGTATCGACAATGAGGCCCTGTACGACATCTGTTTCCGGACTCTGAAGTTGACAACTCCAACATATGGTGATTTGAACCATCTGGTGAGTGCAACCATGTCAGGAGTGACAACGTGTTTGAGATTCCCCGGTCAATTGAATGCTGATTTGCGTAAGTTGGCAGTGAATATGGTTCCCTTCCCACGTCTCCACTTCTTCATGCCTGGCTTTGCACCGCTGACAAGTCGTGGTAGTCAACAATACCGTTCATTGACTGTTCCTGAGTTGACACAGCAGATGTTTGACGCGAAGAACATGATGGCGGCGTGTGACCCACGACATGGACGTTATTTGACGGTGGCTGCCATCTTCCGTGGTCGGATGTCAATGAAAGAGGTTGACGAACAGATGTTGAATGTTCAGAATAAGAATTCGAGTTACTTTGTTGAGTGGATTCCGAACAATGTGAAGACGGCTGTTTGTGACATCCCACCTCGTGGATTGAAGATGTCGGCGACATTTATTGGGAACAGCACAGCTATCCAAGAGTTGTTCAAGCGTGTGTCTGAACAGTTCACTGCTATGTTCCGTCGTAAAGCTTTCTTGCACTGGTACACTGGTGAGGGTATGGATGAGATGGAGTTCACGGAGGCTGAGTCGAACATGAATGACCTGGTGAGTGAGTACCAACAGTATCAAGATGCAACGGCCGAGGAGGAGGGTGAATTTGAAGAGGAGATTGAAGATGCTTAAATAATTGTTGTCCAACTACTCCTACTATGACTACTACTACTGCTTTCATTGTTGTCGTTTTTTTCAATATAAATTATCATTTCCCTCTGACGTTGTTATTGATGGACCGATTCTCTGAGATGTCGCGTTATCGAGTCATTGTATGAGGTTGTGTGAGTTGAATGTGTTGAGATCGTGTGTGTGTGAAGTAGTGAAACTGATTGCTCTGTGTTCCGTTCGACGAGATAACTAGGCGGTGAATTGCGTTAGTGTCATACTGGCGAATGGATATCTAGTTGTGTAGGTGTTGTATGGCCTAGTGTTGGGGTATTGTGGTGTATTGCTATGTGAAGATAGCGTAGTTGTCTTACACGTGATTGTAAGGGTTAGTCCATGACGTGTAGTAGTGATTGGTGCTTTGGATTAGTTTGTTGAGCGAGTGAAGAGGAAGGTACGAGTTGTTTGCGTTTGTGTTCTAACACCTGTCTGATTATTCACTTATTCAAGTCGAAGTTTAGAGAATGAAATCCAAGGACGACAAGTCATTGACAAGGCTGAAGAGAGATTTCGTCATAACTCAGATGATTCTGTGTGGGATGTCTGCTGTTCACTTACACTCTAGTGGTGGTATTATTTTTACGAGGTTGTGGGTTGTTAGCCTCACGCCTACTCCTCCCTCTCCTCCGGGATTACTACCAGCTTAGCGGTGGATTCGGAGTGCATCGGGACGGAAATCAACCATCCCTTTTACCTCCTGAGTAGCTAGCTAGCTATCTGGCAAGCATTCCACTAGGGAACCACTGACGCATTATGAAATGTCATGAAAACTATCAACCTCAACTTAAATACATTGAAGAAGTAAGAGACATTTCACAAAGGACTAAATTCAATGTGATGATACAGTTTACACCCTAGTAGGTGGTGGTCAGTCGTGAGCCGGCAGAACTCAAAATGGGAAACATCTCTGACTGTTATCCTGGTTGGTGTGGGCTTGAATCTCACAGTGTGAACGGTTATCAGCTACAACATTACAGACACGCTTATCTAATGAGAAATACCAACAAGAAGCACCAGAGCCTAGTTTCATGTTTCCCTGTCAGTTTCATCATTCAACCATCTAACATACAGACAGATGAATGTAGAATCCATCATGTTAGGAGACAAAAAATTAGACATGCCAGTAAAGTAACAAGGAGAAATAGATTGATAATGGATGGGATCAGGGAGAATGTATATAAGAAGGGGGATAGGCACTTAGGTGAAGAGGTTACTAAGAATGTTCAAAATCAGAATCAGCAATGGAATACGCACCAAGTCTTCAATCAGTGTCTTTTAATATCCAAATATGACTACATACAGTACCACTTTTCTTTTCTAAACAACAAATGAGTCGGTTAAAGACGTTGTCGACTGATACCGTTGACAATTTGTCTGTCTGTCTGGATTCAACATAGAACTTGGCACCGAAGTGTACCAGTTCGAGTTGCCACGTTCCAGATCGCACACAGATGTAGACAAGAAGATGAGTGAAGAGAATCAATACAGTCTGACAAGTATAAGAGTGAAATAGGGTGGGTGGTAATGGTAAAAAGGAATATGAAGGATTACAGAGACTGAATACATCTGCGCCATTGACAACGACTTTGAGCCATGTAACCTATTGTCTCCAGCCATTGATTCCTAGAGTCCCGAGGACCCCAACCCGGAAGTCTGCATCTCCCTACCTGACTCAGTTTAACTGTCAAGGATTTCATGGATTGATGTCATGTTTTTGTTTGGCCACCACTTACTCTTTTCCAACCTGCACCTATATCAGCTAGCAATGCCCGTCGGGGGAGGCGGTGGTTAGGCATGCGCAGCACGTGACCTAGCCATCTTAGTCTATGTAACTTTATAGCCTCGTCGATTGATTTTCCCTCTTTGCCCAACACTCTACGCCTAACGTCAACATTACTTACCTTGTGAAACCACCTAACGTGAGACAGAGATCGCAGACATCTATGATCGAAAGCAGTCAACCTTTTCATGTCTTCAACGCGTATTGGCCATGTTTCAGAGCCATAGAGAAGGACGGAGCGAACTGATGAGCAGTACACACGTCCCTTGGTTGATAACCGGATGTCACGCCTACGCCAGAGGTGGTGTAAGTCAGCGAAAGCAGCTCGAGCTTTTCGGATCCGTGCTGAGATTTCATCGCCAATCAGTCCGTTGGTGCTAATACAACTTCCCAAGTAGGTGAAGTGGTCAACATGTTCTATCACTTCACTCCCTATCACTAAGCTAGGAGTTGACGTAGTCCAGTCCTGTAGCAGCATCTTACATTTTGCAGGGGCGAATCGCATGCCAAACATACGAAGATTGCTGCTCAAGGTGTTCAGAAGACTCTGCTGATTTTGTCAGCATCCTCCCCTAACAGGACTATGTCATCTGCATATTCTAAGTCCATAAGACTATTCCCTGGTAACAAGTCGATTCCTAAGTCATTACGTTCAGTTAAGGATACTTCCATCAGCATATCTATGATGAAGTTAAACAGAAATGGGGAAAGTGGACATCCCTGTCGGACACCACTGGTTGTTACCAATTCAGATGACAATTCCCCATAAGCCCTTACACGACTACGTGAGTTTGAATAGAGTGCCTTGATTAGTGCAATGTACTTTCTTGGCACTCCCTTCACAGTCAGACATTGCCATAGTACCTTTCGATCCACGGAGTCGAAGGCCGCCTTCAAGTCAAGAAATATGGCAATTGTTGGACGCCGAAAAGTGTGTCTATGTTCTAGAATCTGTCGAAGAGTGAAGATATGATCTATGCACCCTCTACCTGGTCTAAAGCCTGCTTGATTTTCCCTCGTCTGTTCCTCCCGAGTTCTGCTTAGTCTATGCATGATTACTGAGCCTAGGATTTTAGAGACTATGTTCGTTAGGCTGATCCCCCTATGATTATCACACGAGGACTTGTTTCCCTTCTTGAATATCGGTATAATAAGTGACTTACCCCAGTCTGATGGAACTGTCTCTGATTCCCAGACTTTGCCTAGTACCTCAGTTAATCTACAAACTAGTATGTCACCCCCATATTTAAACACCTCCGGAATAATTCCGTCGGGTCCTGCCGCTTTGCCTCGTTTCAAATTACTGATAGCTTTTGTGACCTCACTTACAGACGGCGGACCAGTGTCTATATCCCATTCGGGTGTGTGCTGGATGTCGGGGAGGTTCAGTGTGGCTGTAGGCAAGTTAAATTGTCCTCAAAGTGTTCTTTCCAGCGTTCAAGGCGTCTATCCTGAGAGCTAATTAAGGAGCCATTTTTCTCAGAAATAGTCTCACTTATGATTTGCCTTCTCCCTCCCGTTTCCCTGATGAGTATAAAGAGTTGCCTGGTGTTGCCTATCCTCGAAGCTTTCTCCATCTCTTTGCCTTTTGTCACCCACCACTGTTCACGGTCCTTGCGGAGACTTTTGGTAAGTTTCCTCTTGTGCAGCTTTCGCTCCTCATTGAATTCGGAGCTCGCCGGAATAAGTCTTCTAGCATCTATCAGTTCGGATGAGGCGGTGGAGATCCAGTGGTTTTTACTCACCTTTGGGTTTACCTTATTCACAGCTTTTACAGCTGTATCTATGGCTGACTGGATATTTTTCCAAGCTTCTTCAGGGTGAGCACAGCTGTCGAACTCAGATATGCGTTTAGCTAGTTCTTCCTCAAATATGGATTTAGTTTCCTGATCGAGCTGGAGACGTGATGGTTTTACCGCCAGCTGTTTCCTACGTCCGTTCAGTCGTAAGCACACACGAGCGCGGACCAGTGCATGGTCGGTATCTACACACGTGTTCCAGAAGGAGCGACAATCTCCTACCGACCCACGCCAACGATAGCTTATTGCTATGTGGTCTATTTGTGTCCAGCGTTGGTTTGATGAAGGGGGTCTCCAAGTCAAACAGTGTCTCTCCTTGTGTTTGAAGTTAGTGCTTACGAGAAACAAATGATTATCAGAACAGAACTGTAGGAGACGGTCACCGTTGTCGGTTCGCTGGCACGGAACTCCATAGGTGCCACCGACATCCTTCTCAGATTGACACAATTTCCCTACTTGAGCGTTAAAGTCACCAGCTAGAACGACTATGTCTGAGCGTTTAGCCTTTCCCACCAAACTAGACAGCTTTTGGTAGAACTCATCCTTCGTTTCATCCGAACTGCAGTCAGTGGGGGCGTAGGCGGAGATTACGAAAAGGCATCGGCGAGTAGTGCAGTCCTTCCTCCTTTTTACTGATCCGTTCAGACGGACAGCACACATTCGGCTATCTACCGGGATCCAGTCAAGCAGTGTCTTTTCTGCCCTAGTACTCAAAGCTATCCCTACGCCAGCTAATCCTCGTGAACTAGCTGTGGCATCTCCTGACACCCTCAAGGTGAATTTTGCAGATTCAACCTGTTGGCCAGGTGGGGTTAGGTGAATAACCACACTTGGGTCTTGTATGCGTGTTTCTGAAACACAGCATACATCAATGGCTCGTGATGCCAGGGTCTTGGTTAGTGATGCTTGTTGTCCTATTTGGTAAAGTGTCCTAACATTAAGAGCTCCTATATGAAATTGGTGGCGCGGCTTTAAGAGGCTGTCGGTGGTGGTTTTTTGGCTTCCATCGTTTTCAGTGGACGCAGAGTGGAAAGGAAGTGGAGAGCTATCAAGTCGAGGAATTGCATCAGTGGAAGGAAGGCAAGATGATAGAGATGAAGATGAAAACAAAGATGAGTGAGTAGTAGAGAGGTTTCGCGTGCGTTTCGGATTGTGAGGGCGATTGTTACTTCCCGGCTGCCCACACCGTGGAAGTTGGTTGCGTGACCGCAGAGCCCAGGGGACAACTGCTTGAGGCCGGTCACACGCGGCCTGTTTTTGTTTGTTCTCTTTTGTTTGGTGTGCCTCAGTAGCATACTTATCACTCCTGCCCTGTGACACGGCAGCAGGGAGCGCGGTCGTTGTTAATCCGGGCCACGGCCGATCCGGCATGAAATTTTGTGATTTTGTATTGGTCATGATGTTGGATTGGGTAGCTGCTTTTTGTTTAACCGCTATCCAAACAACCTGCCTGGCATGGTAGGACCTCAAGAGACATAAGTCTCAGCCAGTATAGCTTGAATAGATCATTGCGGTGTTCAAGCCCGACCACCACGTCAAGGTAGCAGCTTTCGGTCGGGACGTGTGTACTGCTCATCAGTTCGCTCCGTCCTTCTCTATGACTCTGAAACATGGCCAATACGCGTTGAAGACATGAAAAGGTTGACTCCTTTCGATCATAGATGTCTGCGATCTCTGTCTCACGTTAGGTGGTTTCACAAGGTAAGTAATGTTGACGTTAGGCGTAGAGTGTTGGGCAAAGAGGGAAAATCAATCGACGAGGCTATAAAGTTACATAGACTGAGATGGCTAGGTCACGTGCTGCGCATGCCTAACCACCGCCTCCCCCGACGGGCATTGCTAGCTGATATAGGTGCAGGTTGGAAAAGAGTAAGTGGTGGTCAAACAAAAACATGACATCAATCCATGAAATCCTTGACAGTTAAACTGAGTCAGGTGGGGAGATGCAGACTTCCGGGTTGGGGTCCTCGGGACTCTAGGAATCAATGGCTGGAGACAATAGGTTACATGGCTCAAAGTCGTTGTCAATGGCGCAGATGTATTCAGTCTCTGTAATCCTTCATATTCCTTTTTACCATTACCACCCACCCTATTTCACTCTTATACTTGTCAGACTGTATTGATTCTCTTCACTCATCTTCTTGTCTACATCTGTGTGCGATCTGGAACGTGGCAACTCGAACTGGTACACTTCGGTGCCAAGTTCTATGTTGAATCCAGACAGACAGACAAATTGTCAACGGTATCAGTCGACAACGTCTTTAACCGACTCATTTGTTGTTTAGAAAAGAAAAGTGGTACTGTATGTAGTCATATTTGGATATTAAAAGACACTGATTGAAGACTTGGTGCGTATTCCATTGCTGATTCTGATTTTGAACATTCTTAGTAACCTCTTCACCTAAGTGCCTATCCCCCTTCTTATATACATTCTCCCTGATCCCATCCATTATCAATCTATTTCTCCTTGTTACTTTACTGGCATGTCTAATTTTTTGTCTCCTAACATGATGGATTCTACATTCATCTGTCTGTATGTTAGATGGTTGAATGATGAAACTGACAGGGAAACATGAAACTAGGCTCTGGTGCTTCTTGTTGGTATTCTCATTAGATAAGCGTGTCTGTAATGTTGTAGCTGATAACCGTTCACACTGTGAGATTCAAGCCCACACCAACCAGGATAACAGTCAGAGATGTTTCCCATTTTGAGTTCTGCCGGCTCACGACTGACCACCACCTACTAGGGTGTAAACTGTATCATCACATTGAATTTAGTCCTTTGTGAAATGTCTCTTACTTCTTCAATGTATTTAAGTTGAGGTTGATAGTTTTCATGACATTTCATAATGCGTCAGTGGTTCCCTAGTGGAATGCTTGCCAGATAGCTAGCTAGCTACTCAGGAGGTAAAAGGGATGGTTGATTTCCGTCCCGATGCACTCCGAATCCACCGCTAAGCTGGTAGTAATCCCGGAGGAGAGGGAGGAGTAGGCGTGAGGCTAACAACCCACAACCTCGTAAAAATAATACCACCACTAGAGTGTAAGTGAACAGCAGACATCCCACACAGAATCATCTGAGTTATGACGAAATCTCTCTTCAGCCTTGTCAATGACTTGTCGTCCTTGGATTTCATTCTCTAAACTTCGACTTGAATAAGTGAATAATCAGACAGGTGTTAGAACACAAACGCAAACAACTCGTACCTTCCTCTTCACTCGCTCAACAAACTAATCCAAAGCACCAATCACTACTACACGTCATGGACTAACCCTTACAATCACGTGTAAGACAACTACGCTATCTTCACATAGCAATACACCACAATACCCCAACACTAGGCCATACAACACCTACACAACTAGATATCCATTCGCCAGTATGACACTAACGCAATTCACCGCCTAGTTATCTCGTCGAACGGAACACAGAGCAATCAGTTTCACTACTTCACACACACACGATCTCAACACATTCAACTCACACAACCTCATACAATGACTCGATAACGCGACATCTCAGAGAATCGGTCCATCAATAACAACGTCAGAGGGAAATGATAATTTATATTGAAAAAAACGACAACAATGAAAGCAGTAGTAGTAGTCATAGTAGGAGTAGTTGGACAACAATTATTTAAGCATCTTCAATCTCCTCTTCAAATTCACCCTCCTCCTCGGCCGTTGCATCTTGATACTGTTGGTACTCACTCACCAGGTCATTCATGTTCGACTCAGCCTCCGTGAACTCCATCTCATCCATACCCTCACCAGTGTACCAGTGCAAGAAAGCTTTACGACGGAACATAGCAGTGAACTGTTCAGACACACGCTTGAACAACTCTTGGATAGCTGTGCTGTTCCCAATAAATGTCGCCGACATCTTCAATCCACGAGGTGGGATGTCACAAACAGCCGTCTTCACATTGTTCGGAATCCACTCAACAAAGTAACTCGAATTCTTATTCTGAACATTCAACATCTGTTCGTCAACCTCTTTCATTGACATCCGACCACGGAAGATGGCAGCCACCGTCAAATAACGTCCATGTCGTGGGTCACACGCCGCCATCATGTTCTTCGCGTCAAACATCTGCTGTGTCAACTCAGGAACAGTCAATGAACGGTATTGTTGACTACCACGACTTGTCAGCGGTGCAAAGCCAGGCATGAAGAAGTGGAGACGTGGGAAGGGAACCATATTCACTGCCAACTTACGCAAATCAGCATTCAATTGACCGGGGAATCTCAAACACGTTGTCACTCCTGACATGGTTGCACTCACCAGATGGTTCAAATCACCATATGTTGGAGTTGTCAACTTCAGAGTCCGGAAACAGATGTCGTACAGGGCCTCATTGTCGATACAATAAGTCTCGTCTGTGTTCTCCACCAACTGATGGACGGAGAGCGTTGCATTATACGGCTCCACGACTGTATCCGAGACCTGAAAGACCACAAATACTCTTGTCAACAAACATCAATACTTCAATAATACAACGGTCTAGGTCACTAACTAACAACACCTCCCCTATTCTACAAAACATCTATTAGTAAGTCAACACATCTCACACTATAAGAATTAAACTTGTACACTGTGGTTAAGTATAATTCCATTATGGCTAAAATTTATTTTGATCAAGTCTCAGTCTTACACAGTATTATTTACTGGTGACGTTTCAAGCACAATTTATTGCTCATAATCACTGATATGATTATGAGACTTTATCAAAATAAAAAATCTACCTATAATGGAATTACACCTTAAACTATTCAATACGTGATACCAACTCGAACTAAATTATCAAATTTATGGACACTAACACTGCAACTCTCAAGGCAAAAACTGAACAGCACTTACCTTCGGCGAAGGAACAACTGAAAACGTGTTCATTATCCGGTCAGGATACTCTTCGCGTATCTTCGAGATCAACAGTGTACCCATTCCAGAACCAGTACCACCACCGAGTGAGTGAGTCAACTGGAAGCCTTGAAGACAGTCACACGACTCCGACTCTTTCCTCACCACATCCAACACCGAGTCAACCAACTCAGCTCCCTCTGTATAATGGCCTTTCGCCCAATTATTCCCAGCGCCACTCTGACCAAATACAAAGTTATCCGGACGGAACAGTTGTCCGAAAGGTCCAGCACGGACGCTGTCCATTGTCCCAGGTTCTAGATCCACCAGGATAGCCCGTGGGACATACTTTCCACCAGATGCCTCGTTGTAGTAGACATTAATGCGTTCCAGCTGCAGATCAGAATCACCATGATATGTCCCCGTTGGATCGATTCCATGTTCATCTGAGATGACTTCCCAGAACTGGACAATTTAAAGGTGGACATGGACAAAGGGTATTAGTGAATGCACAAAGTCCAGTAGAACATGAAAATAATAAGGTGTTGTGTATGTATGTGTTTCGACATACCTTGGCACCAATCTGGTTTCCACACTGACCAGCTTGAATATGGACAATCTCTCTCATGACAACCGGTCACTAAGACGGAAGTACGCGAAACGAAAGCAAAAACTACAGCTTAGCGTCAGTAGCAGACTTGCTAACCAATTTAATCCATTTATTTCGAAATGAATGGATTAAATTGGTTAGCAAGTCTGCTACTGACGCTAAGCTGTAGTTTTCGCTTTCGTTTCGCGTACTTCCGTCTTAGTGACCGGTTGTCATGAGAGAGATTGTCCATATTCAAGCTGGTCAGTGTGGAAACCAGATTGGTGCCAAGGTATGTCGAAACACATACATACACAACACCTTATTATTTTCATGTTCTACTGGACTTTGTGCATTCACTAATACCCTTTGTCCATGTCCACCTTTAAATTGTCCAGTTCTGGGAAGTCATCTCAGATGAACATGGAATCGATCCAACGGGGACATATCATGGTGATTCTGATCTGCAGCTGGAACGCATTAATGTCTACTACAACGAGGCATCTGGTGGAAAGTATGTCCCACGGGCTATCCTGGTGGATCTAGAACCTGGGACAATGGACAGCGTCCGTGCTGGACCTTTCGGACAACTGTTCCGTCCGGATAACTTTGTATTTGGTCAGAGTGGCGCTGGGAATAATTGGGCGAAAGGCCATTATACAGAGGGAGCTGAGTTGGTTGACTCGGTGTTGGATGTGGTGAGGAAAGAGTCGGAGTCGTGTGACTGTCTTCAAGGCTTCCAGTTGACTCACTCACTCGGTGGTGGTACTGGTTCTGGAATGGGTACACTGTTGATCTCGAAGATACGCGAAGAGTATCCTGACCGGATAATGAACACGTTTTCAGTTGTTCCTTCGCCGAAGGTAAGTGCTGTTCAGTTTTTGCCTTGAGAGTTGCAGTGTTAGTGTCCATAAATTTGATAATTTAGTTCGAGTTGGTATCACGTATTGAATAGTTTAAGGTGTAATTCCATTATAGGTAGATTTTTTATTTTGATAAAGTCTCATAATCATATCAGTGATTATGAGCAATAAATTGTGCTTGAAACGTCACCAGTAAATAATACTGTGTAAGACTGAGACTTGATCAAAATAAATTTTAGCCATAATGGAATTATACTTAACCACAGTGTACAAGTTTAATTCTTATAGTGTGAGATGTGTTGACTTACTAATAGATGTTTTGTAGAATAGGGGAGGTGTTGTTAGTTAGTGACCTAGACCGTTGTATTATTGAAGTATTGATGTTTGTTGACAAGAGTATTTGTGGTCTTTCAGGTCTCGGATACAGTCGTGGAGCCGTATAATGCAACGCTCTCCGTCCATCAGTTGGTGGAGAACACAGACGAGACTTATTGTATCGACAATGAGGCCCTGTACGACATCTGTTTCCGGACTCTGAAGTTGACAACTCCAACATATGGTGATTTGAACCATCTGGTGAGTGCAACCATGTCAGGAGTGACAACGTGTTTGAGATTCCCCGGTCAATTGAATGCTGATTTGCGTAAGTTGGCAGTGAATATGGTTCCCTTCCCACGTCTCCACTTCTTCATGCCTGGCTTTGCACCGCTGACAAGTCGTGGTAGTCAACAATACCGTTCATTGACTGTTCCTGAGTTGACACAGCAGATGTTTGACGCGAAGAACATGATGGCGGCGTGTGACCCACGACATGGACGTTATTTGACGGTGGCTGCCATCTTCCGTGGTCGGATGTCAATGAAAGAGGTTGACGAACAGATGTTGAATGTTCAGAATAAGAATTCGAGTTACTTTGTTGAGTGGATTCCGAACAATGTGAAGACGGCTGTTTGTGACATCCCACCTCGTGGATTGAAGATGTCGGCGACATTTATTGGGAACAGCACAGCTATCCAAGAGTTGTTCAAGCGTGTGTCTGAACAGTTCACTGCTATGTTCCGTCGTAAAGCTTTCTTGCACTGGTACACTGGTGAGGGTATGGATGAGATGGAGTTCACGGAGGCTGAGTCGAACATGAATGACCTGGTGAGTGAGTACCAACAGTATCAAGATGCAACGGCCGAGGAGGAGGGTGAATTTGAAGAGGAGATTGAAGATGCTTAAATAATTGTTGTCCAACTACTCCTACTATGACTACTACTACTGCTTTCATTGTTGTCGTTTTTTTCAATATAAATTATCATTTCCCTCTGACGTTGTTATTGATGGACCGATTCTCTGAGATGTCGCGTTATCGAGTCATTGTATGAGGTTGTGTGAGTTGAATGTGTTGAGATCGTGTGTGTGTGAAGTAGTGAAACTGATTGCTCTGTGTTCCGTTCGACGAGATAACTAGGCGGTGAATTGCGTTAGTGTCATACTGGCGAATGGATATCTAGTTGTGTAGGTGTTGTATGGCCTAGTGTTGGGGTATTGTGGTGTATTGCTATGTGAAGATAGCGTAGTTGTCTTACACGTGATTGTAAGGGTTAGTCCATGACGTGTAGTAGTGATTGGTGCTTTGGATTAGTTTGTTGAGCGAGTGAAGAGGAAGGTACGAGTTGTTTGCGTTTGTGTTCTAACACCTGTCTGATTATTCACTTATTCAAGTCGAAGTTTAGAGAATGAAATCCAAGGACGACAAGTCATTGACAAGGCTGAAGAGAGATTTCGTCATAACTCAGATTCTGTGTGGGATGTCTGCTGTTCACTTACACTCTAGTGGTGGTATTATTTTTACGAGGTTGTGGGTTGTTAGCCTCACGCCTACTCCTCCCTCTCCTCCGGGATTACTACCAGCTTAGCGGTGGATTCGGAGTGCATCGGGACGGAAATCAACCATCCCTTTTACCTCCTGAGTAGCTAGCTAGCTATCTGGCAAGCATTCCACTAGGGAACCACTGACGCATTATGAAATGTCATGAAAACTATCAACCTCAACTTAAATACATTGAAGAAGTAAGAGACATTTCACAAAGGACTAAATTCAATGTGATACAGTTTACACCCTAGTAGGTGGTGGTCAGTCGTGAGCCGGCAGAACTCAAAATGGGAAACATCTCTGACTGTTATCCTGGTTGGTGTGGGCTTGAATCTCACAGTGTGAACGGTTATCAGCTACAACATTACAGACACGCTTATCTAATGAGAATACCAACAAGAAGCACCAGAGCCTAGTTTCATGTTTCCCTGTCAGTTTCATCATTCAACCATCTAACATACAGACAGATGAATGTAGAATCCATCATGTTAGGAGACAAAAAATTAGACATGCCAGTAAAGTAACAAGGAGAAATAGATTGATAATGGATGGGATCAGGGAGAATGTATATAAGAAGGGGGATAGGCACTTAGGTGAAGAGGTTACTAAGAATGTTCAAAATCAGAATCAGCAATGGAATACGCACCAAGTCTTCAATCAGTGTCTTTTAATATCCAAATATGACTACATACAGTACCACTTTTCTTTTCTAAACAACAAATGAGTCGGTTAAAGACGTTGTCGACTGATACCGTTGACAATTTGTCTGTCTGTCTGGATTCAACATAGAACTTGGCACCGAAGTGTACCAGTTCGAGTTGCCACGTTCCAGATCGCACACAGATGTAGACAAGAAGATGAGTGAAGAGAATCAATACAGTCTGACAAGTATAAGAGTGAAATAGGGTGGGTGGTAATGGTAAAAAGGAATATGAAGGATTACAGAGACTGAATACATCTGCGCCATTGACAACGACTTTGAGCCATGTAACCTATTGTCTCCAGCCATTGATTCCTAGAGTCCCGAGGACCCCAACCCGGAAGTCTGCATCTCCCCACCTGACTCAGTTTAACTGTCAAGGATTTCATGGATTGATGTCATGTTTTTGTTTGGCCACCACTTACTCTTTTCCAACCTGCACCTATATCAGCTAGCAATGCCCGTCGGGGGAGGCGGTGGTTAGGCATGCGCAGCACGTGACCTAGCCATCTTAGTCTATGTAACTTTATAGCCTCGTCGATTGATTTTCCCTCTTTGCCCAACACTCTACGCCTAACGTCAACATTACTTACCTTGTGAAACCACCTAACGTGAGACAGAGATCGCAGACATCTATGATCGAAAGCAGTCAACCTTTTCATGTCTTCAACGCGTATTGGCCATGTTTCAGAGCCATAGAGAAGGACGGAGCGAACTGATGAGCAGTACACACGTCCCTTGGTTGATAACCGGATGTCACGCCTACGCCAGAGGTGGTGTAAGTCAGCGAAAGCAGCTCGAGCTTTTCGGATCCGTGCTGAGATTTCATCGCCAATCAGTCCGTTGGTGCTAATACAACTTCCCAAGTAGGTGAAGTGGTCAACATGTTCTATCACTTCACTCCCTATCACTAAGCTAGGAGTTGACGTAGTCCAGTCCTGTAGCAGCATCTTACATTTTGCAGGGGCGAATCGCATGCCAAACATACGAAGATTGCTGCTCAAGGTGTTCAGAAGACTCTGCTGGATTTTGTCAGCATCCTCCCCTAACAGGACTATGTCATCTGCATATTCTAAGTCCATAAGACTATTCCCTGGTAACAAGTCGATTCCTAAGTCATTACGTTCAGTTAAGGATACTTCCATCAGCATATCTATGATGAAGTTAAACAGAAATGGGGAAAGTGGACATCCCTGTCGGACACCACTGGTTGTTACCAATTCAGATGACAATTCCCCATAAGCCCTTACACGGCTACGTGAGTTTGAATAGAGTGCCTTGATTAGTGCAATGTACTTTCTTGGCACTCCCTTCACAGTCAGACATTGCCATAGTACCTTTCGATCCACGGAGTCGAAGGCCGCCTTCAAGTCAAGAAATATGGCAATTGTTGGACGCCGAAAAGTGTGTCTATGTTCTAGAATCTGTCGAAGAGTGAAGATATGATCTATGCACCCTCTACCTGGTCTAAAGCCTCCTTGATTTTCCCTCGTCTGTTCCTCCCGAGTTCTGCTTAGTCTATGCATGATTACTGAGCCTAGGATTTTAGAGACTATGTTCGTTAGGCTGATCCCCCTATGATTATCACACGAGGACTTGTTTCCCTTCTTGAATT